CATCCAACCTGATATGTCATATCTGTTTAAACTTTGTATCGAAGGATAAAACATTAAGACTGTTCATAGCTTTCTTTCCCAACAAAACGGGGCAGTGTAAAATGCAGACTGCAGACTGACAGCGGACTATTGTTTTTAGGGTACATTGGGACTTTTATTGTCACGTACTTATTTGTATGGTGAAAACAATAGTCCGCAGTCTGCGTTTTACACGGCTGACCGCCAACAGAACACATTTTATCATAAGATTTATTTTAGTCGAGTCACATTCCAATACCTTCACAAATCGTTGGAATTCCAGACCAAGTTTTGTCGAGTTGACAAACACGCTCCTTGGAACCTTTAAGCCGGTACCCACGATCACATTTAAAGGAGCAGCGGGTCTTGTAGCGCGGGACATAAGGAGCTGATGAACACACTCCAGAAGGTGGATTGGCGTTAGATACATGAACTAGCGGACATCTAATAGCTAAGAATAAAATAGAAGATACACGATTTATTGGACATGTTATAGCTAAAAATAAAATATGTGGGGTAATGGTAGTAACTTATTGCTTCAAAGACATCATCATCATTAACGTCATCATCATTAACGTCATCATCATCAACGTCATCATCATTAACGTCATCATCATTAACGTCATCATCATTAACGTCATCATCATCAACGTCATCATCATTAACGTCATCATCATCAACGTCATCATCATTAACGTCATCATCATCATCTATTTATCCTACATAATTTTGAAGAAATCAAAATCTATTTGTCTTCCTGAAATGCGAACATGCACAATAGGCCTAGGGTATTTTGGGCAATGAGGCCACCAAAAATGTGTTAAAGGGTCAGCTTATAAAAACTTGAGGGAGGCCACCCAGAAAAAAATTAAAAGCCTATTCAGTATATGTTGATATTAGTAACCATTAAATAGAACTAAGAGTGATGAGTGGAAAAACTGGCGATAAAAACGAAAAAAAAACAATCAGAATCAACTTCTGAATAGTACTCCCTATATCTTCGATATCAATGGCTTATGGCATTAGGATCACCGTAGTTATTAAAGTGGAATGGTTATGAAAGGCGTTCGACTCGTTTGTTATATGTTTTTGTGTGCTTTTTTGGACCTGACCGTGCACCAACATTCAATAGCATTCCTATCATTTTGAACTCACTGACCAATAGAAACATCGCATTTTTCTATTCAGTCATAATTTATGAGCAAAAAACAAAGGATTGTGTATCGTCAGGGAGGCTTCCAACATAAACTACACAGCTGACTACAGCACCGTTGTTTTCAACTTTGATGTTTGTCGGCTTTCATAACCAGTCTCCTCTACTAACTATGGTGTCACATGACTTTCATCTTACCAGAGCAATAAATAAGTCCTCCTGTCCACTCCATGTGGTTGTTTTTATTCACGATGCACTTTTTCTCTGCATGCGCACTTCCTCCTTCTAACTCATAACCTTCATTACATTTGATGCGGCAAACTGAGTTGTATTCAGAGTTGCAGACACCAACTAAGGACCCATTTATTGGAGGGGCAAACGGATCACAAAGTCTAACTGTTGAAAATAATAAAGCACATTATTAAAAAACGAATCATTGGATAATGCAATTCAAGAACTCTGATTGGCTTAGCCATCATAGTATATGAGCTCCAAATATCGTAACTGTACGCGTCTGCTCAAATTTAAAAACAAGCTGAAAATCGGTTGTTTTTACAAATAAAGTCGGGAATAATTCTCGATATTTTGTGAGCGTTTTTTAATAAAACAATTATTCCACTCGCGCTTGCTGGATATGAGATGATTATAGCCAACTCGGCGCTATGCGCCTTGTTGGCTATCCACCATTTCATATCCAACGCGCACTCGTGGAATCATTGTTAAATAGATGCCGCAGTTAACAAATCATATATCAAAAATGATACGTTCTTTGTAATTCAGTAGGCAAGGAGGGAAAAGTCTAAAGCTAGTAACGGCTAATAGTATGTAAAAGTAATAACGTCGTTATCAAATGGTGAAACTGGAAGGTAGCTACCAGGGGAGCGAAAATATAAATGTGGGGGGAAAACAGATAAAATGAAGTAAAGTAGACAAACTGCAAACTTCTTTCTTACTTGTGCATGGAATGTCCTGCATTGGGTCCCCTGAATACCCTTTCAAGCATTTGCAGTCACTGAAAATATGACTTCCAAGAAGGTTATGACCCGAATTTACCGGGCAAGGCTTACAGGAACTTGCAAAGCCAATGTAATCTTTGTATGTGTTATGTGGACATTCTAACATTTCATGGAAAAAAAAAAAGATATAAATAAATTAAACCCAAAATTAATTTTTGAGTAGCTAGAAAGCAGGGGAATTATGCACTGTATAGAGATTAATACTGTGGGCTTCCACTATCCATTCTTTGAGCAACCAGGACCTGATTTAGGAAAGGCTGAATCGCTCGATCCAAAGGAAACTTTCATGTTAGTTTGGTCAGTATCCTTTAAATCACAAACACGCGTGGAGGCACGATAAAATAAAAGATTTGAGGAAAGTTTTTGTTGTATGAACCATCTGAATTATAAAAATAAAGAAAGAAAGAATTTGTCTCGAAATCTGAGAGAAATCCCTGCGCCAAGACAGAGCGCCCAGAATCATAAAGCTTTCAAAATTATAAGTCTCGGTCGCGAATTTTGAAAGCAGTTTCTCACAGTCTCTCAAAGTCTCGAATTGACCGTACTATACCTTTTCATAATTCGCTCTGAGTGCCAAACGTAAACTACTCTGAACTTTTATAAATGTGCATGGATAAATTGTCTTTGACCATTTAGTATGGGCTGGCATCCCCCGTTGGTTTTTTTTTTTTTTACCCTAAGGTTTTGTAAGTCTACTAAGTTGATGACCAATAAAATGCGATTTGGTAAAGCTTCTCAAGGTGTCAATCCCGATCCCTTTTAAGTCAGGATGAATATAAAAAAAATCTATACAATATTACACGGACGCTTTGCGATTTCCCCTAGCTGATATGGTTGGCAAGGCATATGGAAACATGAAAAAAAGAAACAACTCTCTCATCTTATTGGCATCAGTAAGACCCTAAGAGTCCAACTGAGCATGGCAGAGACCGAAAACAACGCAGCTTCCGAAGTACGTCAGAAATCCTTAGGCTATTATATTAGGTCGAATAACAGACCCACCTCTACATGCTTGCCCTTTGGAACCAAAGAACCCAGCGTGGCATGGCACCTGAGCGGAGCAACAAGTTACTAAACACGCCAGAAACACCACTCCCTTAAACATGACTAGACTTCCACCCAGCGGCTTAGTAAGAAAATTAAAGCTGCTTACAGATTAGTCTACCTTGTCGTTTAACCTTAACGCAAATGAAGCAGTACACTGTCAGTTTCATAATTAAAGTAATAACTTTTTAATGCTCGATATGAGACTCAACAGGTGGGAAAACGATCTTTGTACACACTCCTTGTGTATCCACATCAAAAAGGAATTTTAACTTGATTCCAAGAAAAAGATGAACTACAGTTGTGAATATCATACTGTTAGTATAAAGTGACTTTGTTATGGCGTTCACGGACCAACTTTTGACACAAAAACTGAAGAGATTAAAACATCTCATTATCTCCCCATAGCTAAAAGCCTTTTATTATAACGCAAAATGGTTTGTCTTTCATATGAATTTCGTCAGGTGAGAAAACACTTTTGACTGATAGTATTTTTTAAAATGGAGGCTGACAAAGCATGATTTGTACTTTATCAGCTCTAATATATCCTAAACAAATATCGGCATCCACTCTTTTTAAATTATGTCTTAACTTACATTTGAATCCCGAGCGTTCTTTTTTTATTTTTTTTTAAAAAGTATTTATATGTCTTCTGTTCTTTGCTTAAAAAACTTTAAAACTTTTCTCTAACTATTAATTATTACATTTAATTTTAAAAACCTTAAAATGTATTAGGGTAAACCATAGAGCGGAAATATCATAATTTATGACAAAGATAACATGAGTCAAAAAGGGAAAAAACGAAGGTTTTAATGTTTCCAAACAATTTACTGAGTAGGGTTCCAAAATGAGTTTACGCTCTCCTATCTTCTAAGTTATTTGAGATTGAGGGGAAAATTGGTTGATTTATTGTCGCCTGTTGACAGATCTTTGTCATCTTTATTAACTAGACTCCCTTGCAAATTATTGTTAGCGGTTTTTAAACAAAGTAGATGTTTGGCCTTTTTTCTTCAGTGATCAAAGTGATATTCAAAGGATCATTTTACATGATTCATGATTAAATCAACTTTAGCGAGTAATTGTAACTTCAGCTATTTTTTAATCCGCAGTCACAGTGATTTGGGTATCCCTGTGTGGGTATGCCTGTGCCCAAATCACCAGTAATATGGGTATCACTGTGACACCGCGTCTAAGCGGCTTCCGCTCTCTCTCTCCACCCTAAACATACTCGCAGGCAGGCAATAATTTATCACAGCTGATAACATTTCAGTGTTCACGGTTTATTAATTATGCCAACGCTAATACATGCAGACTTCTAGCAATGCTTTTGATTATAATAAGGACGTAAATAAAGTGCGCCTTTAGCGACCTTTATATTAGCTTCAGTTTGCTTCAAAACCACTGGAATCAACCTGTCATTAAGAGAAAACAAATACATAAAAAGTTGAGTAAAAATATAACTCCTTCACCTCAATTTAGTTTTTACAAAGCAAGATAAGCAAATTATTATAACGCTTCATTTTGCCGCTTATTAGACGGTGCATCTAAACTAACAAGTTCGTAAACCAGAGTCATCAGCCAATGTTTGCAGTGTGAGCTGGGCTTTGTTAGGGGCCTATGATGCGATGTGGGACGATCCAGGAGGATGTAGCGATCACAATTGCCTACATAGAACTGAGGTTTATAATTATATCAATGGTTTAGTTTGGTTTCCACATAATCAGGGGTCTTGATAGTTGTATCGCCGGCAGGATTTGAGATTTACCTTTAATCCCAGGAGAAACGAAGATATTCTGCAAACATTCGGGGTCAAACTGGCAAAAGAAAGGAGGAACATAGGGCGACGTCAACAACTGGTAGAATTTGTCTTTAATGGAGGCTTGGACGTTAAGATCATGCGCATCTCCATCAAAGTAGTGATATTGCTGGTTCCACGACTTTATCGATGACGATGGATTCACCCCAGCTGCATTAAAAAAAAAAGAAAAAGAAAATGGAAATGAAAAAAAATTAAGTCCCATTTCAAAAGAAATTTAAAACAATGGCATCTGACTTTCTCACATGGTTATTCCGGATCTTGATATAACTGTAACTTAAAAAGACCTTATAGTTATCTGTTATTGTCTTAAACGGAAAAAAACTTCTAGCTTGCTTTACATTTATTTTAGTGGCACAAACCCAAACAAAGAAATGAATGAACTGCGAAAATGATGTACGCATTGATGAAGATCAAGCACATTTAAAACAAACAAACAAAGAAAAAGAAATTAAAAGAGAACGAGTGCTTCTTTGGGATCACCCAGACACAATATATACAAAAACTGTGGGTATGAAATTTCTGTCGGTCATGTTAGTCATGTTACTTGTCACATTTTAAAAGTTACGTTCGATATCGCGTCGTTCTAAAAAACAATTTGTGTTTGAGCAAAAGTAGTGAAAAGTACAAATTTTTCCAGAATTGTAAATCTCCTTTGGTTTGTTTATGGATAATAAAAAGACCCATTCTTTCGCTCATCTGAAGCAGCAGAAAAGCTGCACTGGCCGACTCTTTCCAGCAGACGCTCTTACCACAAGGCTAGACTCGTTTTTCTCTGTCTTCACTAATTAGTTCCTAGTTATTTTTCATTATATTTTACTAGGTTTTGGAACATTCACAATTATTCCACATGGCAAAGTATGAAGTTATCCCTACGAAACGTTAAACAGAATTTTGGGAAAAGGATCTTTCTTTTTACTGGCCCAAAAACTTTTAACAAACTCCCTTTAAACATGAAATTGTGAAGAGTGAAAACATTCAAACGTTCTGCCGCCGAGCAAGACATTTCTTTCTATCATAACTTTGATATTTTATTATATTTTAGGCTTTAAATGTGACTTTGCACTGCCTTTTTAGGCTTTTTAATGCAGTTGTTAAATTCTATTACTGTATTTTTATTAGGCTTTTTAAGTGTAATAATTGGTGAAAATTCTTGATGTAAATTAATTTGAAAGATACAGGGCCCCGAGCTGAATGGGCTACCTTGTGTAAATAAAGTTTTACTCTACTTTACTTTACTTTACTTCTATCATCCATGGTTTAATTGTTGCTCTTGAAACTTCAAGAGTCTTGATTTGTAGTATGACTTAACAGATCGTACATATCTTGAAACGAAAAGTAGACCTGTGTGTAAGACCAAAATGGGACACCCCAGTTTAATGGTACGAGTGCTTTAGTGCATAAATTGGTAATTCTAAAAGCGTCATAAAAAAATCCTTAGCTCTCGAGACTGGGTGGTCTGTTCCAGGTTCCAAGACAGTGGGGGAAGCGGATCGAAAATGGCGCTAAGCAACGTGGAAGCCTGGGAAAGAAGGGGATTTTTTTGGGCTCGGTCGCTCGTTCGCTCCCTTTTTTAGTTACCGCTAGTCGCTCTTTTCGCTCATCTTCACTAACCGAGAGTCTGGCTGGGACAGGCTACTCAAGAGGACTGGAAAAAATAATTATTAAGAGCTCTTACCAGTACAGTTTGGCCAGGGTAAAGTCGAATCATAAGGCACGCCGGAGAGCGCATAGAACCTCCACTGTCCAGATGAACAGAAGTACAGTAATGGGACGTTAAACTCAAAGTCAGTGCCAGTCTGACACATGACCGCACAAATATTATCACCACCTTTACTAACGCACGCTAGGGCTCCGTTTTTAGGAGGTGGGTATAAAGGACACTTTTTTTCTGCAAGAAAACACAACAAAACTTGTTTCCCTTGATTGTTTAGCTTAAGGGTTTAAAATATTGAAAAGGTAGGTCAACTTAACAATAGGCCATTTTACAGTTATGGATGGAAGCGAGGGTGAGGGTGACCTTGTTTTGATACAAACCTTCTTTGCTTTGTTATGGAAATTGTTCTTGAAAAATATTAGTAAGCATAAGAATAAATTGATTTACATGATAAAGCAGGAAGGTTTGTATCAAAGAAAGGTCACCCTCAGCCTCGCTTCCATCCATAACTGTAAAATGGTCTATTACAGCACTTCAATTCCAGCCTTTGTTTAAGATATGCATTGTTCCTTAGTTTTCTTGTTGATATCTTTACATGGTTTAATAAATGTATTTATATTTCTAAGGCTCTTGTTACCTATTTTTTACACTTACATTATTATCGCCATATTCATTTAACTAGTCTTAGCAGAAGAACTGCCTTTTTGATAACATGTGTTGTGTTAAAAATATCAAATGTGCTATTACTTTTTTTCAAAATAGTCTCAATGCCATGAAAGTTATTGCACTAAAACTACTCAGATAGAAAAGTGAAAACTTGCAACTAAAAGTCTCTTTATGATTATTAGTATAGCAGTTCGTGAAACAGTGCTGAAAATTTAGTAACTTAAGTATATGAGTAAATCTTACTTTTCAGTGTTATCGTGAATGAACATTTTTTGTTCTCATTATTTGACGGGTCCTCTGCGGTATACACAATTAGATAGGTGCCGGGAACTTCATATAAATCTCCGTTGTGTCTGTTTGAAGAGAACGTGACACTTCCCGAATTGTCGGAGAAAACTGGTCTCGTCCAGTCTACTCTCACTTCTCTGTCTTCCTCTTCTCGGACAATATCTCCTGGACACTGCTCGACGATAGGTGGTTCAATATCTAAAGTAAAATGACATTGTAAAAAGAAAAGGTCAAGATTTTATCGTAGGAGACAAAGGGTACGCGCATACTATTCTCTTCCCTACAGAGGCCTTTTTGTGTTGTAGGAAGGTTGGAAAGAAGAGAAAAATAAAAGAAAAATGCTCGAGGGGGTTGGGGAAAAGAAAAAAAGGAAGTGCGCGTGGACCGATGGTAATTTTCATTCTGTTTAGTAAGGCTGCTATAGCATTTTATGGAACAGTGTATATTAGTGTTTAACTACTTCTTCCTCGTCCCGTTAAACATTACAAACCTTTTTATCATAAAGAAGTTGCCAATTGCTTCGTTTTTGTTCAAAACGCCGGCTCGCTACTCACAAGATCACGCACTTAGTAAATAGTAGGTAGCTGTGGTACCACGGTTTGAAACGTGCGGAAAGAGAGTCAAAAAACAAGATTTCATCCACGGTTAACTGTATTTTTTTCTGTTTTATTAACGCGCGCGTTGTCGGGTTGTTTAGTTGAAGTTTTCTCCGGACCGAGTTGGCTTTACCCTTTCGGTGTTGACTCTCTTTCCAGGTCTGTTCACTGTGCCCCTGATGAGAATGACAGACCTTCTGAGCGGACTAAAATTTTTTTAAAAATAACATCAGTCTATGTTCCCGTCTATATTAGTGAGCTCACTAGAACTTAATAACAGTGTAACATAGCTATTTATCTATTTAGTTCTCGTACCATAGCTAAATGAGTATTTACCACTTACTTAATGCTATGCATTCTTATTAAGAAATAACTAACGTATTTGTGGCTATTCTTCCCGCAGCTGCATGTAGTTTACGCTCAATGAACTGATGTGTAGTCATTGAACTACTGGTGTGGTTATTGATCAGTTGTGTACTTATTGAACTGCTGTGTCCTTATTGAACTAACAAAAAGGTATTTTAGGCAAACAGTAGACTACGAGCAGTCTCTCTTTATTCTCCCTGCCAACCCTTTTTAGGTGCATAAAAACTACTAACAGTAAAAAATATCATTTGCATATCATAATTGAAACTATTTACAAACGTATTAAGCAATATTCATATAAATCCTTAATCTGTTGCGAAATAAAGTCAGCAATCCTGCGTGTATAACAGTTTAGGCAAGTTATTCCAAGCATTAACGATCAGTACAATAGAACCAGTTGACGCTCAAAGGTAGTCTGCTACACAGCCGTTTTTAGTGTCGTCACGCAATGCTCCTCCTGGGAAGGAGCGTTGCGTGACGACACTAAAAACGGCTGTGTAGCAGACTAGCTCAAAGGTGGACGATGGAGATACCATCAAGAGCTTCTGCTCAAAATACAATGTTGATGAGAAGTATGCTATTAACTGGGCTGCCTCAAGGCACGCCCAGTTTATAAAATAAGTAGATTTTTCCTTAAAGAAAATGAACAATATCAATTATTAACCCAGTAACCCAGAGAGCGTTACGTGATCCATAGAGCATGTTTGTTCATCTTCGCAGAGTCTGTTTAAAGATTGATTTCCTTTCGGATTAGGATGAAGACGATTCGTCCGACGAATCTAAGAACTTTATAGAATTTCGCTCCCAAGTTCCTCTCATAGCCTCATTGGCGAGATGGCAAATAAGCGGCGAAGCTTCGAGAATTCAATGGGATAACACCCTCAGAGCTACCCCCTTTAGCAGCAGAAGACCTTCCGATAAAAATTGATTCCAACTAGATAGGAGACTGCTGAAGCAATTGCAGCCATGAAAAGAAACAACAATAAGCAGCAGCTTTGGATTGTGCCTTTACTACTGAGGCACTTCAAGGCGGCAGTGATCAAATGCTTGATACCATTCATGTATTTTGTCGATAAAATTGATCCCCCAACTAGAGAGAAGACTGCTGAAGCAATTGCAGCCACGAAAACAAACAACAATGAGCAACAGCTTTGGATTGTGCCTTTACTACTGAGGCACATCAAGGCGGCAGTAATCAAATGCTTGACGCCATTCATGTATTTTGCTCTGAAGTTTATACCTCATTATTACCACCACAATGTTATTATTTCGCCACCTTAGGAAGGTGACTTCTCACTGATGACAAACTATAGAGGCATTTCCCTCTTGTCCAATGCTGCAAAGGCGTACAATAAGATCTTGTTCAATAGAATTCGACAAAATGTAGATCCTGTTCTGAGGAAACTTGAAGCTGGCTTTAGACCAAGTCGAAGCTGTGCTCAGCAAATCCACATACTGAGAAGAATTATAGAAGGGGTCAAAGAATACTAAATCCCACTTACTGTTACCTTTGTGGATTTCAAGAAAGTCTTTGATTTCATCAAAAGAACAGCTATGTTAGTCGTAGTACTGCGACACTACGGCATCCCCAAAACTATAGTCAATGTCATACAACAAGTTCTTCACAGGAATTCCAGCAGTGCTGTAATGGTGGATGGAAGCATCTCCGATCCCTTTGATGTTACAAAAGGAGTCCTTCAGGGCGATGTTTTGGCACCCTTCCTCTTTATCATTTTTTATCATTCCTGTTGACTACCTTTTGGGTAAGGCATCTGGACCTGACTCCGGAGTGGTAACCTGTTCTCGTCAGTCGAGAAGGTATCCAGCTAAAATGGTGAAAGACCTGGATTTGGCTGATGACATCGCCCTCCTAGAATATCACAATATCAATATCACGGGCCCAGTCCCAGCTCACCAGAACTGCTGATGCCGCTTCGGACCTTGGTCTTGTTATCAGTGCATCCAAAACAGAGTTTATGACCATTAACTGTCAGGGGAGCAGGGGAATGCGTAGCCCCCGCCTAAACAAAAATTTGTGGACAGAGCCCTCCACGTTTTAGTGCCGAAAAACACTACGGCTGTATTTGACATTACTTGTGAGATCTCAAGAACTACCTGAGAAGCACCATGAAGGAGGACCGCCTAAACAACTGCCTACTGATGCACTGTCGTCACAAATCGATCACGGACACACAAGACACTGTCAAGGTTACAAAGAGGTTTGCTTGTGCCAACGAACAACGCAAATGGTATTTTGGAAAATTTAAGTTGGGACATGTGTACGGCTAAGTGGAATATGAGCGTCCCATGTTTCAAAACACTCCGCCGCCTCTGATTATATAGCTGTTCGCAGTCTGTCTCTTTAGCTAGTTTTCATACAGTACAATCAGTGTATTTCTGTATAGTCTAGGACCGTCTAGGTTTTATGGTAGAGCAGTGGACTCGCCTTTTGGCTAGTCTACTTACATATATTAATCATCTGAAAGATATTGATATCAGAAAAGGCGTTAGAACAAGAGAAGCTGAGGAACAAAAGAGACGAGAGACGGAATGGACATACAAGGACTTCAAAGGGGAAACCCTTATTGAGAGGGGCAAGATCGAAAAGTTACGGGTAAAAGAATTTAACTTCTACCTGAAAATACATGGATTGACCACTATTGGTCGGAAGCTTGACAAAGTAAAAGCCACAGTTCGATGTCATTAATACCGGCACATCAAAGAGTCTGTGAACACAGACAAATCGTGTAGTCAGCCAATGATGAAGGTGACGGGAATCGGAGGATGAAGAATACGAGGAAGAATTCGGCAGTGAGGAGGACGAGAGCGACAGTGACTATATATGTTTGCAACGATTTGGATGACAAGAGTAACCCTTCACAGACAATTCAGTTCATATCGGATGACCAAATATGTGAAGTTGTTGTTCAAGGTTCATGAGTTGTAAGTATTAATATCTATTATATGGAGGAGAGTGTTTTACTGGGAACTAAACCACTCGTAGATTCCATACGCCACTTCATCCGGGACCCGAGTGGCGTATTTTCCGTATGTCACCTTTGTGAGTGTCGTATCGTTCAATGACGTCACGATTCCCGCCTTTTGCTTTTGTTGAATTGGTTTCTCCATATAATAAAAAGAACATTACACGTTAGCTCGAAGATATGAATTTTATGTTCTCGTGGCAAGAACAATATCTCACGAGTGAGCGAAGCCACCGTGTAATATCCTCTATATACGTCACTTGCATGCATGCTACCAGTATACATGCATAGTAACACTGGCCTTTAGAAGAGGTGGAGGATAATGAAATCTTCCACCGCCAAGGTGGGGGGATCAAGACACACTGTATTCTTTGAGGGCGGATAACGTAAGTGCTCAGTTGTCGCAACAAAAATCCTCCCCCACCCGCCCACCGGCGATAAATAATGACCGGTCGTCCCTCAGTTGACTAATGAATATTGTATGGTTTTTAGTTTAGCAATTTAACTTAGTAAGGTCCTACCCTGAATAATATATTCATGTTTGGGAAAACACAAGAGAAGCTTGAAATCACTAGCCGAAGAGTCTCAGGCCCACGTATCCGGATATTTTTTGTTATCAGTATTTTTTTTCCTCAGTTTTGGCCTACCGACCAAACGGCTCTTTCAGGCACCAGAAGAATAGAGTTTTTTGAAAACGCCGGCTTATCGTTTTCGTGTGTACGGACGAAAATACGATGATGTCATAAGAGAGCCCTATAAGAGAAGCTCTTTCGAAATTGGAGGAAAAAAATCTCCATTTTCAAAAAATCTCCTGATACGAGTGGAAGAGGCCTGAAGTTTTTCACTTTTTATCTATTAACCTGCAATTCTAACGCTAAATCTGCATATTGCTGTATTTCCATTGTTGTCACTAGCAGCAACCTCAACGAGATTCACACCAATAGGAAATTCTTGAGATGAGGCTAAATTTATCTTCGCATTCGGATCCACATTTGCAGAATTGTCTGTCACCTGGATATTCCATGATACCTTTCCTGTCGCTTTTCCTTTGGTTGTATGACCTGTTATGTCAGGACACGTTATCGTTGGGGGCTGATAATCTATAAATTAGACAAATTTAATTCGTAAATATATTTAGTTGCAAAAAAAGGCGTTTCTGCAAACAAAGGACAAAGTATGTGGCTAAAATGGATACTGAGTCCTAAATTCTCTACTTGACCAGTGTAAGTTGACAGCCTAGATTCTAAAAACAATTAACAGCATTGCTCAGAGTAGACGACAATCAGTACCTACTTTGACCTGTTTTTCTCAGTCATTTGAGGGAAACGCGCCAGATTCGAAAATAAACACGCGCGTGACTGACTTCTCGGGCTTCCTTCTTTAGTTTCTAGCATCTCGCTGCTTTGCCGCTTAACACTCGCACGCGCGTGCACTACCCTCCCTAAATCTGAAGAAAAAGATAAACTGCCTCACAGCCTATACTTGCTCAAAGTTAACGGATAGTCACATGAACTAAAATAATCATGATCCTGATTTCATAAAAAAATGAAGTCTTTTATTGAAATTGACTAATTAGTGGTGCATGTCATTGCCCTGTGTTCTTTGAAGTGAAGTAAACAAACGTAACAAACGTAACAAACGTAACAAACGTAACAAAGCAAACGTAACGGTACGAACACTCTGGTATCTTTAAAGGTTGGTGACAAAGAACTGATTGACGATGAGAGTATTGCTAGTAGTTTTAATTCCTATTTTTCATCTGTTTTTACCTCCGAGGACTTCACCAACTTGCCTTCTTTAGAGCCTTTAGTTTGTGAGAAACTTAATTATATTTCCTGTACTACTGAGGAAATTTTAAAGCATCTTAAGTCTCTTAAAACGAACAAGTCCCCGGGTCCAGACAGAATTTCACCAGTAATTTTAAAATCATGTGCGTTCGAATTGGCGCCCTCGATCTCATTTCTGGTTAACAAATCTTTCCTGCTGGGCCATTTGCCCGAAGATTGGAGATCAGCTGACATTGTCCCACTTCATAAGAAAGGTTCTAAACACTTGAGGGAGAATTATCGTCCAATTTCGCTTACATCCATGATATGCAAAATCAGCGAAAAAATCGTACGCGATAGGTTAACGTCATTTTGGCAAGACCATAACGTGATAAACAAAAACCAATTTGGTTTTTTGCAGGGTAGGTCTACTGTGACCCAATTACTCTCTACTTTTCATGACTTCGCCAAATCTAGGAATTCATCTGTAGCAACAGATGTTGTATTTCTTGATCTCGCAAAGGCTTTTGATAGTGTTCCTCATGAGCGTCTACTCATAAAGTTATATAGCCTCGGTATTGAGAGTAAACTTCTTAACTGGTTGAGGCATTTCCTCACGTGTAGAAAGCAACGAGTTGTTGTAAGAGGGACTTTTTCTGATTGGGCACCTGTGATATCTGGTACCCCACAGGGAACTATTCTTGGTCCAATTTTATTCCTATCATATATAAATGATATCGTTGATAGTGTCTCTTCAAAAATTAAATTATTTGCGGATGACACTAAGATTTACAGAGAGCTTCGCAACCCTAGTCTCGATGAACAATACCTTCAAACTGATTTGAATAATCTTGGTAAATGGGCGAAAAAATGGCAACTTCGTTTCAATGAGGAAAAGTGTGAAGCAATGCGAATAACGCATTCTCGTGACAAATCGACTACGAATTATAAACTAGGTACGGCCTTAAAAGATGTCAAGAGCTTTAAAGATCTTGGAATTATTATATCAAAAGATCTTACTTGGAGTGAACATATTAGTACCATGGTGAATAAGGCGAACCAAGTCCTAGGGCTAATAAGACGGTCTGTTGGAACAGCTAATACAACAACTTTTTCATTGCTTTACAAAACATTGGTCAGACCACTTCTAGAGTATGCTGCTCCAGTCTGGAACCCATATCTTGTCAAAGATATTCATGCAATAGAGAGCGTGCAAAGACGCGCGTCAAGATTAGCTCTTAGGCAAAAAAGAGGTGATATGTCTTATGAAGAGCGTTGTGACTCGTTACATTGGCCATCTTTGTCCAGTCGTAGGACATATTCCTCTCTTGTTGAATGTTATAAGATCGTGTTTGGCTTATCACACTTGGATTTTGAGGAATTCTTTCAATTCGCAAAAGTCAAATCCACTAGGGCAAATCACTCGTATAAGCTTTATTGTAAATTATCTAGAATCAACTGTTTTAAATATTCTTTTTTTAACAATGTAATTAGTTACTGGAACAATTTACCTAGTAATGTTGTTGAAGCCGGTTCCCTTGAACTTTTTAAATGTAAACTCAAATCCTTTTTAAAGTTGTAATTTTTATTGTAATTTTTATTGTAATTTTTATTGTGTGTTGTTTTTAGGAGAGTTTTATTCATAGGGTTAACCTCTAGACTCTCCCTTTCAAATTCATGTGGTCATTATGAGTTTGAATAAACATGTATGTTATGTTATGTTATGTTATGTTATGTTATGTTAAGTTCTGTTTGCTTACCTTTCCTTGTTTGAATCAAACTGGTGCCAGCGTTTATTGCTTGAAATTTCTTTTTTTACAAAGTTTTAATTGTCCTTGTTCATTTTTAGTTTGAAGCACCGGCTGGAAGTTTTAAATCCATTGATATCAAGCCCTTTTTTCATATTTACAAGGGGGACATATTTGTAAAACAGGTTGGCCTTCCACTATTTCTAGCATTTCTTACTGAAAAAGCGAAAAAATTGATTATATAATCAACTAAAAAAAAGACGAAATTTGTGCTTTTAAATTTCAAGCGCGGATAACTGATTTGAATAGTACTATCCAATTTTGTTATCCAATGAATGTATGCTTTTCTCTGGATAGAGCGATTTTCGTATAACCTTGAAAAATGGTTTCGGAAATTGTTCGTTATCTGTTTTTAGTTTATCAGCCAATGGATGAAAAAATCAAAATATGGCTTCTTCGTTTTCCCGCCAAAGAAAGTCCTAATATGGAGGAGGCATTGGTAGATTAGCCAATCGGGTTGCAGTATGACGTTAAAGCGAAGTATCTGTTGATTTCTAGAAGTTCTCGGGCATGAGGTTTTTCTGACCCGAGCGTTCGCTTAACCAACAAAAGGCCAAGCCCGTTTTTATCCGTTCGATAAACCAACCAAATCGCTCTACTTTCGATCGTTTGTTGTTTCTGTTTTGTTCTCTCGTTTTCATTTCAAGGTCATACGAAAATCCCTCTAATTTTAGCAAAAACCTCAAACAAAAAGCGGAAAACGCTTGCCATGGCATTGAGGAACTTGAACGTCCCATGCGCCATTGAGCTGACACGTTAGAACTCTCGAAGCTATGTGGGGTGCAGCAACTTCCGTAGTAAAGCCATCGGGACATAAAAATGTGCAGGATGAGTAAAATTTCATTGACTGGTCACCACAGATACTTGGAACCACTGTTGCGTACTTGACGGACGGAAGTTTAGGGCAGCGAATTTCTAAAAATGAAAACAAATAAAATCATTTGCTTGAAAGAATAAAGATTCGGCTGTCAGGACGTGAACAGATCGACGATAATGCCTCTGGTGGTGCTCATAGCAACGGTTTAAACATTTATGACAGTTATTGATTTATATTAGATATGATTTATATACGTCGATTACCTTCACAGGTCGATGGAGTTCCAGACCATGTCTTGTCGTGTTGACAGACACGCACCTCAGAGCCTTTCAGCTGGTACCCAGTAAGGCATTTGAAGGAACAGTAGGTCTGGTAGCTTAAATCAGCACTGGAGCAAATACCAGTCGGAGGATCGGCGTTAGAGACGAAAAGCGCAGGACATGAAATAGCTAGAAATAAAATGAAAAGGGTTTACGAATTTTCATCCCGCGTGGTTCCCACGAAATCGCCAAGAGAAGAGTGATAACGTAATTTGTGTTAATCAGGATTGACATAAAGGTAAGGTAAGGTCTATTGCCCATGACTCCTCCCTTAGAAACCCTAACTCTTAGACGTCTTTTAAATGTAAACCCGAGCGTTTTAGGCCAAGCTTTTTCCCTAGTACTGTCCTAATGGCAAACGCAACATCCTTCAAAAATTAACTGTTAAATGTTTAAATTTTAAAAATTTAAATTCTTAGTATAACATTTTTTAGTAGCTATGATTGCAATTTATGCAACTCTTGTAGGTTTTACTATTTTTAATTATTTTGTAAACCCAGGCCCAACTAGGTTTTTGTAATTTTCCGAACCTTGTAAACACATTGTAATTCATTTTTAATGCGAGAATGTGTCGATTAAACATCTTTGTTATTATTATTATAAATCGGGTGTTGCGCCCGCTGTATCAAGGTATCGTTATATTATGCTTAGTTAGTTTCGCAGTTGTAATATGACGTATGCTTCTGAGTTGTTGTCATTGTCGTTGGCCTTCGGTTTTCTATACATGTTACAACGGTTCTAGTCTAATTAGATCGGTAAAAATCGGTATCGGTAAAAACTCGGTAGCAATCAAGTGATTTTTATCGATTGATAACGGAAATCGGTGAAAATCGATAAACTAAATTGCTGTGTCAAATCCATATTATCGATTTTTCATGATTTTATCGATTTATAACGGAAGTCCGCCATTGTTGTTTTTTGGCATGAGTTAGATAGTACAGCTGAGAAAACACATCCACGAATATCAACTACTCAGCAACAAACATGAAAATGAGAAATGTGGAAACCATCACACACACAAGTTTCTCTCTAAAACTCTTCGTTTGGTACATAACAACAAAAACGGTTCGAAATTATAATTACATTCATTAACATTCAGGTCTCGCAGGCAAGTATCACGAGAAATACAACCTTAGTAAAATATTTCCTAGCTTGATGTCTGAAATTCATTCAAAGATTTCCCTGGATAGATTTTTACCATTTCCGTTATCAATCGATTTCGATTTTTATCTATTGGCTACTCAGGTATTTGACTACACCCGGAACTACACCGACTTTATCGGAAAGGTCGGCAGGCCTAAGTCGTGAAAAACTGGGCGTCTACAAACCAGAAGAAGATTGTAAACCTGG